TGGGATTGTCTCACGAGGACTGGAGTTCGCTGGGGCCGGAGGTAGGGGGGAGCTTTGCAGGAGGAGCTGGGCCCCACTGGGGAGAAGAAGCAAGCAGCAGGGGCTCCGTGAGGGGGCTGTGCCCAGCCCAGTGGATGCTCCTGAGCTCCCGGGGGCAGAGGTGTCCCCAGGTCCCCCGAAGGGGGCATTGGGGAGGAGCTGGGTGAACAAAGCACCAGGGTGCCCAGAGCACCAGCCCCCGCTCGTTGGTAATTTCCGTGTCCATCCGGATTGTCGCATGACCCAAGAAGGGGGGTGGATAGTGACAGTGGGCACCTCTCCAAAAGGTGGAGAGTTCTGAAGAGGGGGATTTTAGGGAGGTTCATTGCAGTACTCCCGAGGGAAGACGCAGGGCACGGGGCTGGGGCCTCGTCAAAGAGCGCCTCGGCCTCCTCGTCTTCCTTGTCAGGCAGACTGTAAGCACACGTTGCTTGTAAGAGTTAGAACTAATAAGTTTAACAAGGAGGAATAAGAAAGATATTCCTGACATCCCAAGAACTTGTGACTTGTTATTGGCAATTGATCTACTAGTGACAGCTATGGAACATGACCTCTGACCTCAGGAGCTGTGAGTTAGAGATGGTAGGGATCTGAGCAAAGCACCACCTCCTCCAGGAAGCCCTCCTGACTTATCCAGCCCCGGTTGGGTGGGGAGGAAGTCCTCCCTCTGGCTTCCTACAGCTCCTCTCGCCTGACCTGTGTGTTGAAGGCCAGACCATGCTCTGTCCAAGGCTCTGCGCTCACTTTTCCTCTGTGCATTCCTGTTCCTTTGACCAGAAGGGTGGCTCTGAGGTTTCCTAAGCCTGGGGTTCTGGGTTCCATTAGATCGAATTGAACGACATCCCTTAATGATTGACAGGATCTCAGGGGAAAACTCACCTATTTTGGAGCAGCCTTCTCAAGCATTCTGACCCCCTTGGCACATATGAGGTCGGCGGAGCCCAGAGAGGTTACTTCCTGGCCCCAAGTCACACAGCATGTCTAACCCTGCTGTGTGATTAGCTACCCGTGAACCATGACTGGGGCGGGAGGGAGGTGAAGCGGCTTCTGAGCGGAGGTGGGAAGCCCCCTCGGCCCTGGGGAGGGGCACCCTTCAGAAGCTGAGAAGCCAGCTAGAGAAATGGCTTCTGTGGGAATTTATAATTAGAGGTTTCTGTGAAGCCCGAGTCCAGCGCCTCCCACCCACAGCCACCCACTGCTTGGCTCCTTCTGCACAGATTGGATAGAGCTGGTTGGAAGTTGGCAGAGGTTTGTGCCCCTGCCCCACCCACGCCAGACTCTGAAAGATGACTGCTCACCCTCTCTGCCCGCCCCCCACCCCGCTCCCAGCTGCATGAGGTGGAAGCCACACTTGACAGGGACCAGTGGAAGGAGGAGGGGCTGTTTAGTCTGCAGACACGTGGGCGTTGGGGGAGGGGACACAGTGGGTAGACTGTCACTGCCTCAGTGACAGCGAGGTTCTGGGACCGAGGGAGGGAACAAACACCAGAGGCTAGGTTCTGCTGCCACGTGACGGTCAAGGCGGGGCTGACAGAGTGGGCCAGTCATAAACAAACTGAACCCGTGAGTCCCTGTTACGCTCAGACAGCAAAAGAAAGACGAACAAAATGCCAGCTCTTTGCGTTCCTCGTTCCCCAGACTGACGCTGCGACACGGTCCTGCAGCCGGCAGCCGAGCCCCAAGGAGGGAAGGAAAGCCAGGCAGGGAGCCTCACACCTCATCAGAACTGAGATGGGAAACTGGCTCACAGCTGCTTCGCAGGAAGATGCGGCGGCTGGTGGCACACATCGTGTGGCAGCACCTCGCAGGCCCCCTGTGCTCCTATGTCCTGGGAAGATCACGGGGCATTCCGCCAAGACTCAGAGCAGCTGCGGGGAAGCCTCGCTTGAGTGGCCGATGTGAATATGTACCAGGGCACTGGCCCACCAGCTCGGAGCTGCTCCCCTCCGGGGACAATCGATCCTAAAATCTCAGTGTCTGCAACACAAGGTTTATTTCCTGTTTGCTCGACATGTCGCTCCACGTGGCTCCTTTACTCAGGGGCCCGGACGGACAGAGCAGCCCCCCAGTGGGGTGTAGTCTCATGCTAGAGGATGAGGGTGGCAGGCTGGCTCTTGCATAGCTGCTCGGAAGTGGCCCCCAGCTCGTCCCGTGACAGAACCTGATGACGGCTGGCAGAGCAAGCATAACCCTTTGAAAGTGGGAGGCAGTGAATAATTGGGGATAACTATGCACCTGTCCCACTCGAATACCTCCAAGCCCGATATCTGCTGCCTCTTTGTCCCCCAGAGCTGCACGCCCAGGTGCTCTTCGCCCACTACCCAGCCCCCCCTGCTACATCATAAGCAGCTTCTATTTCACTCACCCCGAAGTCCCGATGCCTCCAACCCAACCTGTTTGTCCCCATTCTGGTCGAGGGCCTCACCAGGTACTCAGTGGCCCTGGCCCCAAACCCAGAAGTTGCTCCTGACTCCCTTTTGCCAGACTCCTCCCTCCCCTCGCCACATGCTGCGCTGGGAGGCAGGGGTGGGGGTGGGGGTGATGGAGGGAGGACGATAATGAGGGCAGACAGCCGCCGTCCAGCTTCACCCCCATGACCTCACGCTGGGTGCGTTCCACTCGTGGCCCCTTTTTCACAAATGAGGAAACCGAGGCTGCAGGAGACGAGGTGGCTCACCCCAGGTGTCCCGGCTGATAGGTAAATGAGACCTGTGTGGCTCCAGAGGGGCTGCGCTTTACCCATGAGACCAGAGCCTCTCCCTACGGCATTGTCTCATCAGGCCAGAAGAGGAGACTCATGCTCCCCCGGGAGACGACACTCGTCCTCCAGGGAGCTGCGTCCTGCTGGAGCAAATGCACGGAGCATTCGTTTGCTCACTCACGCACGACCCTGAAACACCTGCCCATCTGTGTTCATTCAGTTTGGTCCCTTTAGCGTTTGCGTCATGAACTATTGTTAAAATTTCTCAGTAGCTGGAAGTTTGTGTTCCCAGGGCCCGGAATAACCAGGCCAGAGGAGAGACGGCTACCGGCCAGCTACTCCCATGATGTAGAGGGGCTCAGGTTACCTGGAGGTCCTGCATTTCAAGTGGGGGGACGGATCCAGACCAAGGGACACCCAAACCTATAGCACAAGTATGGAGGCTTCTCCACGGCAACCACAATACTCCAGCAGGCTACGCAGCTGGTGGGAATGCAAAATGGTGCAGCCGTTGTGGAAAGCAGTGTGATGATTCCTCATAAAGTGACACACAGAATGACTGTGTGACACAGGTATGGCCCCGAGACGACCGAAAGAGGTCTGCGAACAAACACACGAACGTGCCTGTTCAGGGCAGCACGGCTCCAAGTAGCCCAAGAGTGGCCCAGTCGCCAAAAGTGAAAACCAGCGTTTTCACTCAAATGTCCATCAACCATGAATGATAAATCCCGACAGTGGAATATTATTCAGCCATGTGCCACAATGTGGGTGAACCTCGAAAACATCATGCTAAGGGAAAGAAGCCGGGCGCGAAAGGTCCCATGTGAGCGAGTCCATGGATGTGACATGGAGTGAATGAATCCGCAGAGAGAGGACGCAGACTGGAGACCGTCAGGGACTTGGGGCGGGGGAGGGGGAAACGGGCTGTGACTGCTTGACGGGATCACGGCTTCCTTTCGGGGGTGATGGCGATGTTTTGGAACTAGATAGGGGTGGCGGTTGCACAATCTAAATGCCACTGAATAATTCGCTTTAAAATGGTTAATTTTGTTATGTGAATCTCACCTTAATTTAAAAAATAAAATAAGCACGGGCACGCTATAAGAGAGTGCAGACTCGCATGAGTCTGTGACGAGGGCAGACTTCAAGGGCGCTTTGCCCTTCGTATACTGCTGCTGGGGAGTCAGGGTGACGGGCTGGCTGGACTGCCCAACAGGCGACAGGCGACAGGCGGTGGGCTCTAGAGGAGGAGGAAGTGGTGATTCCCGTGCTGCGGATCCAGCCCCCTGGGGCCTGGAAGACGGTCTCAGGGATGCGGGAGGCGGTGCCGGGCACGGAGCAGCACCCACCACTCCTCCCTCCCGTTCCCACTGCCCAAGGGCTGGCTCCTCTAGGCTCCTGCGGCGCCCCCGCCACCCCGACTGACCATCGACTGCTTTGGCTGCTCCCGAACCACCCCCCTCGCCCTCGCTTTCCGGCTTCTTCTCACGGCCTCTGCCCCCTGCCTCGGACCCCCCTCCTGGACCTGTGCATGTCTCAGTGTCCGTGCCCCGGAGAGCCACCGGTGCCCTGGGAGCTGTCAGCTGGTCCTCTGCTTTAACCGGCCCGGTTCTGACAGACGTCCCTTCGGCGGTGGGAAGTGGGACTTGTTTTGCATGTCCACAAGAGGGAAGCTGCTCCCGGCTCAAAAGACAGAATTGAGTCATCTGAGTGGAGACCCAAGACTGGAGAGCCCCTTCACCCCCAAGTGGACTCTGTGGCCCGCAGCCTTTTCTGTCCTCCCACCGGGACGGGAAAGCTGTGAAGGAAGCCAGGCGTGCATGGCCTTGAAATGAACCGTTTCCATCAACCGGTTTCACAGATGAGGAAGCTGAGCCCCAGAGGGACAGAGGTGACTGTGGGTGAGTTGCCAGCAGAGCCACACCCAGGCTGCTGTCTGGTTTCCGGATTTCCGGTACCTCGCAGCCAGCAAACCCCAAACACCACCCAATAAATGCACATTCTCACGGGTCACCCTAAAGTTTCCGTGAGATGACCGGGGAGGTGCTGTTTCCCCATTTCACAGGGGGTGGTCAGACCACCAGGTGTCCTGAACAGTCCTCTCCCACCCTCACCCCCGTCCCCCGTCCCCGCCCTCTAGAGAAGCAGCTCAACCCCTCAGTACCCCTCATTCATTCACCTCCTCACTCATTCATTCTGTGAATATTCATTCAAATCAAATTCTTGGGGAGATTTTACTGAAATCGTTTTCTGCAGTTGGACCGACAGGCCCTGTGTCGCCTTGGATGGGGCCAGGGGAGGAGGTCACTGCCCCAGCTCAGTCCTGGAGCTTGCTGGCGTACACCTCGGCCCTGTCCAGGGGCGGCCCCCGGTTCACAGACGTGTACGAAGCCTCCGAGGTCCCCAGGGACTCGAGGGTGGCCTCCTGCGTGACCTGGGAGTCGTACGTGGCTTCCCCATCAGAATCGCCCGTGTCTCTGACCAAGGGGACAAAGAGAGCCAGGGTTAGGGACTCGGAGCAAGCCCAAAGCCCTTCCACTGGCCAGGCACCTTTCGCTTAGACATTGCTTTCACAGATGTCGTCTTAGGCATTCACTCAATAGACCTGTCTTACAGAGCGCTTACTGCGTGCCAGGCCCTGGGACAAGGACGGTGTCACCCTTCTGGAACTATGTCAGCGAAGACAGGCATTCTGGGCATTTGACAGGAACGGCTGGGGCGTGTTTGGGGCAACAGCGGGAAGTGCGGTGTGGCTGGAGCTGGGCTTGGGGTGACAGGAGCGGTAAATGGAAGAGCCAGGATGAGGCAGATAACGGGACCTTAGGTGCCAGATTAGGGTGTTGCCCAAAGGGAGGGAAGGACATGACTGTGTCCTGACTGCTCCCAGGGCTGGCCAGACAGACCAGTCTCTTGGTGGCTAATCTCATCTATTATCTGTATTTTTATTAGTTTAAATGTCAGAGGCAACTTGATCTCCGAGTTCACTGCCTCCTCCCCATCCTCCACCCACCCACGTCCTCTCCTGCCTGGCTGTTTTCTACGTGTCCACTTAATTTCACCTATTCTAAGAAGCTGTTCCACCTGCTTCCCCACTGCCCCTGGGACAGGCACCCGTCTTGATTCTCGAAGTCCTCTGGGGCTCCCTCTCTCTCTCTCTGAGAAGCGCACTGCATGTGACTTTTCCATCCATCCCTGTCCTGATGAGAGTTTGCTCCTGCTGTCCCTTCCTCCAGGAAGCCCACCTTGATGCTCCAGGCAGGATCTGGATTCCCACAGCAACTGTGGGTGCCTCGATCCACCCCCTGCTCAATCCCCCCAGGAATGAATGTGTGCCTGCCTGTCTTCCCACCAGCAGCCTGTTAGCTGCTCGAGACTCCCCATGGAGACCCCAAATCCTTATCCAAATAGACGCAACTCAGAGCCGTTAGTGATGGAGCCAGGAGACTAGGGCTCGGTCCTGGCTCTGTTTTAACTGGCCGTGTGACCTTGGGCCGCTCTTCTCCCTCAGGCCTCAGTTTCTCCATCTGTACTGCAAGCAGGTGAATTATAATGACGACAAAAGCTATTACTTGTTTAGTGCCCAGGTGCTGCCCTGAGGTTGGTAGGGATTATTTCTCTCGACCTTCACAGCTCCACCAAGTGGGCGACATTTATCAGTAACTCCATTTTCTGGAAGAGGAACCTGAGGCCTAGGAGGGTCAGATACTCGCCCTAGGTTGGGCGACTGTGTCACGTGTGGGATCTGCCCACAAAGCCCCTGTCTCCCCAGCTGACCTTGACCCTGGACGTCCTCAGACTCAGCTCCCCTCTCCCTGGACTCCGCCCAGAGCGAGAGGCAGCTCCTTCGCCCAGGCTCTCCCCGGCCTCAGAAGACCCTCCCAAGGAAGCGTGTCCAATGTGCCCCCAAGCCCCGCCCTCCAGCTGCTGGGTACTCACACGAGACTGAGGACGATGGCACCGGCAAAGCCCAGGAGCAGGAAGAAGGGCAGGGAGCCCAGGATGGACGTGATGACGATCATGCCGCCACTCCGCCGGCCCGGCCACGTGTCGATCGCGGAATACGGGGTGACTAAGGGGACACGGACCCATTACGCCCCGGACTCTGCACCCTTGGCCTTCTCCCAGGGACGCACGGGGTCCCCCCAGCCCAGGGTGCCCCCAGTCCCAGGTAGGAAGTGGGGACCCAGTTCCATGACTGTCTCTCCCCAGCACTGAGGGGCAGTTATCTTGCCTGTCCCCACCTCCCACTTCCCAGCATTCTCTTGTGTGTGTCTGGTCACTTTTAACTGTCTTTTTACATAATTTTAAATTGTCGACTGACTCTAGTTCTCCGGTTAGATGGGTGGGATACAGATTATAAACTATGAAAGGTGAAGCAAATGGCCCGGGTGGACCGTGGGTCTCCCTCCGCCCTGGCCTGTGTCACTCTTTAGGAACCAAGTGAACAAACAATGTATAGGTCCTACTGTGAGCCGACCACTTTCCAGCCGTTGACCCACGCAGGCCCCACAGGACCCTCATTCTGCAGTGTGCTCACGGCAGCTGAGGGAGACTGAGTCCCGTGCAAGGGCACTCGGACGCCAGGCTCACACCCATAGGTCTGTCTGGCCCTGGAGGGGATGCTCTCCCCACAGCCTGACTGCAGCCCCAAGACAGCTGGGCCTAGCGCTTTTGTCTGGTCACCGGAAGGGACCCTGCTGGGGAGGCAAAGCACCGGGTTCTTCCTGCCTCTTCGCAGATGTGGGATCTGAGGGCCTGCAGGGCTCACGCGCGGTGAGGCTCAGAGGCCGGGCGAACACCTGGGCCTCGGAGCCTCCCGCTTCTGGCGAAACCGTCCAGGCTCTGTGGGAAAATGAAGAACAGCCAGGGGAGGCGGGGCACTCCTCCTGCTTCGGGGCTCCTGCGCCCACGGCTGAGCCTGCCTCTGGGACCACTTCAGTGCTTATGGTGTTTGTTGCTGTGAGGATTCAACGAAGGGGCTGTTTAGGCTCTAAATGCAGGATAAACTGCACAGCCCTTGGAGGATGAAGTTTCAGGTTAAATTATTTTAAGATGCATTTCCTCATAACCCGGTGGCCTGCCGGTGTCTGGGGAGACTTTTTGGAGTGACGACCTGAGTCCACATTCCCAGGGTCCCTGAAGACTGGCCCCAGCCCACCCTAGCACTTACGCTGGTTGGTGCGCACGGGGTCCGACCACAGGGTCTGGTCCTGTACCAAGCCGGTGGACATGTTGACAAGGACATACTTGAATCTGGAAGGAGACGGATCGAGGATGACTTCTGTCCATCCTGTGAGCCCCGGTCACAGGGAGATGGGAGGTATTAGGATGGCCGGGCGGGGGACAGAGTGGGGACTTCTAGGAGATGGAAATCTAGGCGGCCACAGGGCGGTGCTGGACTTTGCATTGGCACCTGGCCACAGGTTACTGCCCTGGACCTTTTCCCCAGCTCTGATGCCATCTCCTCCAGGAAGCTGGTAGCGTCAGAGGCCTCCTCTAGGCTCTCCCCTTGGGAGCCCCCTCTGTTTCTCTATGCTGCACGTGTAGCATATTTCTTGAGTATTGACCCATTTGTCCCCAATTTTTGCCTTTCACTTTTCCCAGTCTGGTCCTTGGTATCACAAAAAAAGACAAAATAACAACCACCACCACCACCAACACCACCACCACCACCACCACAACTATTTCCACCCCACTGCTCTGGGATAAGGGCTACATTTTATATATAGATAAAATGTATAAAGGAAGATCAGGCAATCCAGTACCAAATACCCACAGCTGACTTAAAATCAGTTTCAAATGCTGAATGTTCTGAAAATTAAGGAATGGACAGCCTCTAGTTCAACACGAGAAAAAAGTGAAGACCCTTAGAATCTCTGTAGCATCCACTGTTCTGCCTAATCTGTCACCTCTCTAGGTTTGCAGGTGACAGTTCTAGAGGCTGGGGTCTGCGCCTGTGTCCGGGAGGCGGGGTGGGCTTTGCCATTGAGTTGGAGGGAGAGGGTAAGAACGAAGTTGGAGGAAGGGTGGAGAGTGGGGCAGAGACTGAGGACTCGTGTCCTGCATGGTGGCTGAGGTCAAAGGAGGGGCCAAGCCATCAAAGAGGACGGCAAGCAAGTGATGGCCTGGCCCCCGAGTGCAGCTGAGAAGGGACAGAGACCCCCACCCAGGCGTCTCCATGATAAGAGGAACGGCTTTGAAACCAGCTGAGACCCTCTGGGGCTAGGCCATGGGTCCGGGATGAGCCCCCGAGCTCTGCACAGAGAAGATGCTGGGGAAACGCCTGTGGGAAAGAATGAGGGCCCCCCTGGGGTGGGGTGGGCCAAAAAAAGTGTGCTGGAGGGAGCAGGAAAAGGCGGAGGATCAGGTGGGAGCTGGGAAAGCCTTCGGTGGGGCTCCGGTCCAGGCTGGGCCCCAGCTTGTCACCAGGTGACCCCCTTTCCTCTCTGCGCCAGTTTCCTTTCCTGTCTAATGAAGGGGGGTTGGGTGCTAAGTGCCACCTCGGTGATGGACCAGGACCAGGTGCATAATTTGCAGGGCCCAGTGCAAAATAAAAATTCAGGCCTCTTGTTTTAAAAATTAAGAGTTTCGAGATGGCAGAGCATTTAGCCAGGAAGGGCCCTTCTGAGTACGGGGCCGGCCCTGTGCTCAGTCACATACCCAGGAAGCCCTTTATGGGATCCAGGATGGTCCTAGCACATAATAGGCTCTCAGGATATGTGCCTCACACACTTCACCAGCTCTGAGTCTTCTCGAGTTGGGGCTGGGCACAACTGCCCCAGCTGCCCACACCCACCTGTATTCCGTGGCCGCTGACAGGGGTGGGTTGCAGACGCCCTGGAAGTTGGGGTCAGACAGACAGGTCCCATTGGCGCCTACCCTAACCAGGTATGCATTCAGGATATTCGAGACCCGCGACACATCCCCTACTGCATCCAAGTTGGGCAGGTTGCTGCAGGGGTGCAGGTCAAAGGCGGAGGCCTTGTACGGGCCTGTCCTCCCTCCGTCCATTTGCTGGAACGTGGAGCTCAGCGGCGCCTTGGTGTCATCCTGCACAGAGGCGTTCCTGGTGCTGGCTGTAGAGACAGTGCCGGCAGTGAGGTTCCGGGCCACCCCAGCTCAGCCGCTTACTCGGTCAATCATCAAACGCCCATGAACAACCTCTTTGAGCCAGCACTGTGCTCAGGGGGCGGGCACGGGGCAGGCTTCCTGCGCAACGGAGGTAATGGACGGGGGTGAGGGGCTCCCCTACTCTGGGCTCTGTGTCCACCTCATCTTGTCACAGGCCTGTAATCCCCCCACCCCAACAGACCATTGTCATTTCCTCGCTGGACCCTCTCTCTTCCGTGAAATAGGAAAGGAGGGTCAGACAGTACTGGGGAAACACGTGGGGGCAGGGGACGCACGGCGGACCCTAGGTCTCTTCCTTACCAGCCGGGTGATCTCGGACAACCCAATTTACCTCTCTGGACCCCGGCCTGTGAAATGGGAGAAAAATACCCCACAATGCCCACAGACAGGACACAGGTAGACAGGCGGTCCAGTAAATGATGGATGAAAGAATAAAAGGATCTCAAGTGAGCTGTTGTAAATGGCTGATTGCTAGAAACGTAAGAGCTTGTCATTGGGTTCCTTCTCTAGGAAGCCCAGGACGGCTGTGGGCGAACGGGCGAGGGCTGGGCCCCAGAACCCTGGTCTTGAGCCATCACAGGAAGGACTTGGGCTTGAGGCCAGGGAGTCTGGATTCGCTCTCCGGGCCCGGAGCTCCGGTGCATCAATCACCTTTCTGAGTCCCGTTTCTTCGCTCTGTGATAGATGTCATGATACAGTTGGCCCTTGAACAACGTAGTGGTTAAGGGCATGTTTGAAAATCCGAATATAATTTTTGACTCCCCAGAAACGTAACTACTAACAGCTTTCTGTCGACTGGTCACATAAACAGCCAATTAACACATATTTTGTATGTTAGGTGGTTAAGGGCACGTTTGAAAATCTGAATATAATTTTTGACTCCCCAGAAATGTAACTACTAACAGCTCTCTGTCGACTGGTCACATAAACACCCAATTAACACATTATATGCAGTATTCTTACAATAAAGTAAGCTAGAGGAAAAGAAAGTGCTATTAAGAAAAGCATAAAGAAGAGAAAATACATTTACAGTATTTATTGAAAAAAGATCCTCAGATAAGTGGGCCCGTGCAGTTCAGACCCGCGTTGAGGGTCCACTGTGTTATCTTGCAGGCTGGCTATAAATATCAGCTCTAAGGTGTACAAAGCACCTGGTACGATGTAGGTACTCAGTGATCAGCACTGTTATGATTTCTTCCCTAGACCGGATGTCCCTCCAGGTCAAGAACACATCTGTGACGACAGTGCCCAGCCCAGGGCTGGCCCAGAGCGGACACAGTGCAGGTTGGTGAGGTGCATGGGGCAGTTTAGTTACAGGGACCGAGCATCCCTCTATCTGCCTCCTTCCCTCCTCCCTGCAGACAGGTCAAAGCCCCTTTCAGCAAAGCCAAGGGGGAGCAGGACCCTCACCCGAGGCAACCAGGACGTAGAGGTAGACCTGATGGGGGCCATAGAGGGTTGCTGTGCTGTCAAATATGCAGAGAGGTTTCGCCAAAGCCACAGTGGTGAGGGTGGGGTTGTTGGTGGCGAAGGTCACGCTGGCCAGTTGGGGCTGGAAGTTCACACCTGGTGGGTGCAGTGAGAACAGAAGCTGACTCCTGGCAGAACTGTCCAACCCATGGGCACCCATGCCTTCCGCCCGACAAACATGCACGCACATCTCTGCATGCAGTTACTGAGCACCTGCTGTGTGCCAGGCACCAGGCTTCACCCTCCCCATGGGCCATCTCAGGAACCTGCCTCAGATATGGGCAGCACGCTGCCCCCACCCAGCCACCCTGGCCAGGAACCAGGCAGTCCAGGTCCTCTCTCTCCCCCGGCAGACATTCAGTCATCAAGAACCCCCCTGCCCCTCCTAGGCATCTCTCCACCTGAGTCAGCTAAGTCTTGGAGTCTCACCCTCTTCACCTAGTGACAAGCCCTCCCCCAACCTCTGCTCCCTAACATGCCAATCTGACCGAGTCACTCTCCCGCTAGGCCCCATCCATGGCTCCCTACTGCCCTCCGACGCAGTCCAGTCTCTCTGGAGGGGCAATGAGGTCCTGAAGTCTTGGGCCTTGCTTTATTGGGCCTCTGGCCTCAGCCGTATGCACACCCCCTCCACCCCAAGCTCCAGCCACACGGATGGACAACGGACAGTAAGGAGGTTCCCAGCATAGACAATGCCACCTCCCTCCTCCCGGAGCCTGCCCATGTGCCCCTTCACCTAGACTGTTCCTCCATCTCCCCCAGTCTGGGCATCACTGTGAGTCTAGCCCAAGGCCTTCTCTGCTCTCCCGCACACCCACCAGAGGGTTCTGTCCTCCTTGAGCCCTGGAATCCCCACTAGACGAAGCTTATTAATCAATGTTGGCTATTATTAATATGTGGGCCCCCAGAGCCTGCCCAGGGCCTGGCACACAGCAGGCATCGGACCTATTGCTGGACTGAACAAATGAAGTTCCCGTTCCCAACGCCCCTTCCCATCCAGGCTCCTCTCAGGACTCCCCTGAAGGGTCAGGGTGCAGGCCACGCCCCAGGACACAACTGCCCGCCCTGGGCACGGCCCCCTCCGCTCATCATCCACTTACCAGAGCAGAGCCGCAGGAAGCCGAGAGCCAGCAAGGCGCAGAGCGAAGGCATGCCTGGGACAGACCGCGACGGCGCGCGGCGGGCGGTCTAGCGGGCAAGCGTGCACCTGCCTCTCCCTGGCGGCTCACCTGCGGGCCCGGGGCCCGCCCCCGGCGCGCCCCGCCCCCGCCCGCGCCGGCCAATCCGCGGCCTCTCGAGGGTTATTTGCATACGCCCCGCCCCAGGCTCCCTGGCCCGAGAGGTGCCCCAGCGCGCTCATGCTTCTGAGCCGTTACCAAAGCGGAGACCTAGGCAGTGACTTCTCCCGCGTCTGTCGCCTAATGAGACCTTGGGGGCAAGCCACGCCTCTGTGAGCCTCAGTTTCCATACTGTAAAATGAGGATGCTAATTCCTACAACTTTTTATAGAGACCCTAGTAGGTACCAGACACTGGGCTCTTGAGATGAACCTGAACCGGCTTAACCAGTGAAAGTGCTGGCATGGAAACCTTGAAGTCCTGGGTCTGTGAGCTGTCTGGAGACCTGTGGTGTGACCCCGCTCGGGTCACAGGTTCAAGGCCAAGGCTGCACGTGCACTCCCTGGATAAAAACAAATCATCTATAACAAACACTATTATAGTTAGTATGACAATGAAAGAAATTCGAGTTATGGACCGTGTATCGGATAATAATATAGATTAGATGTTACATTTTTTAAGCGTGACCGTTGCATTGCGATTACGAAGAAGATGCACACTGGAGTCTTAGGGGGAAAGTGTCACGCACCGCACACGCGTGCCCACGTATGTGGAGTGAGGGAGGGGGATCGAGAGATAAAGCAAAGGCAGCACGACGTTAACGACTGGCAAACGTGGGTATTCATTGTACTGCTCTGGAAACGTTTCTGTCGATTCGAAAGTTTTTGGAGGAAAAATGTCGGGCGAAAGAGATTCCATGCTCAGTGGGAAATGTACAGTTCTCTCTGGACCTTAGTTTCTTTGTAAAATGAGGAGCTCATTCCAAGAGTGAATAATCAGATCCTTATCTCCAGGGAACAGAAAATGCCCCAGAGTTAAGGAGCTCTTGAGCACAGGGTTAGGTTTTCCTCCAAGAATATTTTATGAACTGACATTTCTCATCCAACGATGGTTTGTGAACGTGGCATTTATCGAGGCCGGCAGAGTTTTCTCTCAGGCTCACCCTGAGAGAAATCACTGTGAGAGGAAGAAGGCCCAGGAAGCCATCCTCTTTCCCAAAACTCAGCAGTTTCAGATGAAAAAAACAAACAAAAAGTCCTCTGCTCTCTTGCTTTGTCCAAATATGGAGAGAACATTTAGGGGGAGGAAGGGTTTAAAATAATAATCAGCTAAGGCCCAAACGTATTGTGCAAAAAAAGAAAGTCTCGGGTTTATAAACAAGTCCCCTCTTCACAGATGCTGACTTTCGTCTGGCGTATTCTAGAGAGGGGGACAGTGCAGGAGAAATGAGTCACTGTGGCAGATTCACGTGGAAGATGCCCACGCGAGGCTGCACGGAGCGAAGCGGGCGGAAAGAGCCCCTGACACCTGCCACTGTCCCCCAGCTGCAGCCCAGTGTCCCACGTGGACACTCCCAAAAATTTTGGCAAAAAAATTTTTTTGCTCCTTGTTGATCAAGTGAATTCCGGGACACTGGGCTTCGGTCCGACTTAGATCTATGTCTACCCCTCAGTCCATTGGACCACCTTTCTGAACCCTGGCCCAGTTGACACGCTCCTCAGAGGCCACGGAGCAGGATGTGCTGCAGTGTGAAAGGTTATGCAAACCCCAGCCCTGCACCCGCCTCCTATGACTTCGAAACCTCCGGTGATTTATGGGTTGGAAATTCTTGACCCAGAAATGTCTCTCCAAGGGTCAGAGAGGTCGCAGCCTATTTCCACGACTCTTTTCTTTAGAAGTCAGAGACATCGCAGGTACCCCTCCCACCCCACTCCGCCCCCAGCAAGCACTTGCTTTCAGTGCTTGCCACATCCGAGAGACCCTAGAAGCCACGCTTTTCTGCACATTGAGATTGTCACTTTAAAACAAAACAAAATGCAAGCAAAGGAACCCAGCTCTCTTGGAAGCTCACTCGCCTACCTCCAGCTCCAAGTAGCTCTGGAGGCAGCTCCTCCAAGCCCCAGCCACCCTCTGCACAGTATCCTCTGGGTGGTCCTGAAGGGCCCCAGCTCTGGTTCTCTCTGCGGCGGTCCCTGGCCCTTTGCAGTAAAGTGGGGGCAATCGAGGTGCCCCCTTGCAGAGTGGAGGCATGCAGTGCAGTCGTGGGGTTAACGTGCTCCGTGACTTGGGCGCTGGCAGCATCAGGGTTGGCACTGTCTTTCCATGGCCTCCGGGCCATCGCCCTCTGCCCGGCTCTATCAGGCTAGTCGTGCCCCACTGGACATTGGCTCCCCAAGCTCACCACACTCTCTCGTGCCCTTTATGGCTCCAAGGACGAGGGCTTTCACAGTGCTCCCTACTTTGAAATCTACAAGTGATGCTTTCTCAAGCCCCCTCCCCCACCTGCTGCCCTGAAGCCCTTTGGGCACATGCTGTGCCCACTGCCAGAGGCATCTGTGCTCCCCACTCCTCCAAGCGAGACCCCTGTCCTCCAAGGCCCAGCCCAAATCCCCACTCCTCTAGGAAGTCTTCCTCCCGTGTCTTTCCAGCACAGGACCTGCGTGGCTATGATGACATCATGCTGGGGGTGTGTTGTACTCCCCCAAACCCCAGAACGAGAGCCCCTCCTGGGCCACGGCAGGTCCTCGGTGTTACGGTGACACCTGTGCTCTGTGCAGGGCATACGCCCATCAGTATTTGATGAATGACTGAGTGAGAGAATGTTTAAATTACTGTAAGTAGAAAAGAGGAGCCTCTTCGAAGCTGCCAGGTCGGCCTTGGCTCACGCCAGGTGCTCCCCTAGGAGTCATAGGCCGGCAGGTCAGCGTCGGCAGAGGCTGGAGGAATGCCCACGGCGTGCGCGTGTTTCGAAGGCTGAGCCGCCAGGAATTTGCTGATGAATTGGCTGTGGAGTGTGGGTAAGGGGGGATCAAGGGCGGCCCCACGCTCTGGCCTGAGGAACCAGAAGGATGGGGGTACCCCTGACTGAGGTGGGAGGTTGTGGGGAGAGCGGGTTTGGAGGGGAGAGGAAATGAGGGTGTCGGTTCTAGACCTTCTAATTCTGTTTTGCAGCTGAGGCTCTGGGTCACAGAGAGACAGGGTAGCTAGGCCAAGCCACCCAGAGCTCCGCGCAGTATCAGCCTCCAGCGCGCTTTCCGCTCCCGACAGCGGCCACTGTGGGTCTGTGAGCCGGTTCTCTAACCAGGCAGCCATCCTTGGGCTTTTGCAAATTTGTGGAGGAAGGGGCAGCTTCTCCCACCCGGTGACACCTGAGCGGTGGCAGGAGGTGGGGACACCAATTTACAACCCGAAGTTAACAAAGGTACGCTAGGGCTACCAGCTGTCCAGCCCTGCGCTGGGCACGGGGGAGTGAGGGCAATTGGAGCCGCAGCCAAAGAAGCTCTTGGGGCCCCTGCCTAGAAGCCGAAGGGCCGAGAAGAGGCTGTCATTCTCGCTGGCCCCTAGCCTTGGGGGAAGCTGAGGCGGCACCGGTTGGGCTGTGGCAAACTGGTTTGTCTGTCTCTGGAATGAAGCCCTGGTTAGACTCTAACCTCCACTATCTGCGTGATCTGCAGGCTGTCGGGCATGGGGGAGCCTTTCCTGCCTGGCTGGGGTGTTGGCTCAGAATTGATCTCCCTCCACCACATGCCACACGCCACACGGGCCACCAGCCGCTTGCCCCACACTGGCCCCTCCCCCCGGCCCACCCTGGATGAGAGCAGGCCCTGGATCAGCCCCCAAGCACCTCAAGCACCTCCTGTCTGTCACCTCCCTTCATCCTCGCCCCAGCTTGGGGAGGCTTGGCCTCGCCCCCACTTTACAGAGGAGAAAACAGGACGTAAGCAACGTGACCTTCCCCATCTCCCCATCCCCTGCCAGAACGTGAACCTGTGTCCCCAGGAGCCAGTTCTGCTCACGCTCTGCTACACTGAGTGTGTGTTTCAGGGTTCTGGGTGGCGGTGGGGGTGGGGGGCGATGGGCGCTGTAAATGGAGGAGATGTGTGGGTCACCCCCGGGCCAGGGTAGTGGCTGGACACTGGGAGCCTGGACTCTAAACTTTGGTCTGATTTGATAACTGCTCCCTCCCAATCCTGTCCACTGCGGGCACTTCCCTGTCTCCGTGTGCATCTGGCTCCGCCCACGCAGTCTGGTGGGGAGACACAGGCCTGCCTGGAGGCCTGGAGGGGAGAGCCGGCTTGGCCCTTCTGCGGCCTGTCCCAGCTCAGATAAAGAGCAGCTCTGACTTCATGCTTCCTGACGTTGCCCTTAGGGTGGTAGTGCCTGCATTTTAAACACCCTGCCAATAACTCCAGCTCTAAAATGAGTCCTCACCCAGGGGAATCACTTCATAAATTACATAAATGTCTAAACTCTATGCTGTACACCTGGAATTAAAATAAAATAATACTGAGTGTCATCTCTAATCGAAAAACACAAATTTAAAAAATTAAAAATGAGTTCTCTATCTTGTGTCCCCATCCTAACTTAACCCCCTAACAGCCACCGTCCTAAAAGGCCGGACAAGCTAGTTCGCACGGCTTCGTGAACACCTTGTACCTCCCCGACAGACCCCGAGGGGAAGCCAGGAGGCATCGGGTTATGCCCAGGCCTGCTGTCAGCCAGGCAAGCTGTGGCCTTGGGCAAGTCACCTACGACTTCACACTACCTTCTCATTTGAGGTCGTAGACTCTCGATCATGGCTCTAAGGAGTCAATAAGCTAATGTATCTGAATAGACATTTTCCAAAGAGGACATACAGATGGCCAATAGGTACATGAAAAGATGCTCAGCATCGCTAATCATCAAAGAACTGCAAATCAACACCACAATGAGATATCACCTCCCAGCCATTAGAACAGCTATTATCAAAACAACAAGAACTAAGTGCTGGAAAGGATGTGGAGAAACGGGTACTGCTGGTGGGAATGTAAATTGGTACAGCTGCTATGGAAAACAGTATGGCGGTGCCTCAAAAAATTAAAAATAGAATGACCATATGATCCAGCAA